ATGCTAGAGCCTTCCTAAGATGTGACTCCTTTCTCTTGCTGTCACTCTCAAGTATCCAAGCTCATGTGTAATCAAAGATGCAGATGCCAATAAACTTAAAACACCCAATTAGATGATGGATGAACTGGTCTGTCTGCTTGCTGATGAACAGATAAAAATACTGTGAAAATGGCTTCAAATGTTTAAGAAAAACATAGCTGTTCAAAATTCAATGGAATAACTAAGTGACTACTGGGCAATGGCCAGCAGCACCAGCATATATCTAGGTGTAGTGAAGCACTACCCAAACGAAGAGAAGTTAAGTTGCTCCATCAGTAAAGACTGTCCATGCAGGGTACTGACTGAAGCACGGATACCACGGAAGAGATGAGTGCTTTTGTGCCTTAAGACTGTACTAAGAGTCTCTAATTTTATGGTTTTAATTGGAGAGAACCAACAACCTGAATTCTCTCATTTCCAGCTTTTAAGGGCTTGAGTCTGCAGACAATGCTCTTTTAACCCGTTCTATTGTGGAAGACATACATAGTAGGACTAGTTAACCACCCTAAGCTCTGCATTACTGCCATGGAAGTAGCGTGAAATTACATTCCTGCCCCTGGTGAGCCCTATACTTCACAAGTATGAGGACTCCTAATGGCTACGTTTATTGAAAAAACCTGCCAATGTCAATGCCCGTTAGTTCCATTTCAGTGCTGTTTACATGTAACACTGAAATGCTTTTAAAAGGCAAAAACCCAAAGCTCTGAATAATTGACCGATGGTGTGAACATGAGCTGTCTGCCTGTGACTAATGTACAACCCACTCCTTTGTAACACAGGAGGATGTTTTGACACCGGATACAAACTCACTGGGGACGGGGCTGAGATCACCACATCATTTTGTGCAAGCAATCACACTTCTGCCCACGAGTGACATACCTTTAATTTGACTGCAAGGGCAAATGAGAGAGGTAGTTACTAAAGTCCCTTTGACCTTCAGTTTATTTGAAGTGTGGCATTTCTGAAATGGTGAGTGCTACTTTTCTTCCACTGAAGAAAACAACCGTTTTATCTCCAGCTCAACAGGGAGTCGAATCAGGGCAACAAGAACACTTTTGAAAAATGATACTCCTAACACAGCTCCCACATGTAAATCCCAAGCCTTGAAATATTTGTAATTAATCACAGATGGTGCATCTTTCAAGTACAGCAATACTTAACAGTAGATCAAACAACCACCACAAGGAATAACTTGCGAGATACCAGCAAACCTCAATGAAGCTTTCTATTTGGGAAAGTCTATCAATACAAAAGGCTCTTTCAAGTTTCTCTTAAACTACTTGGTCCATGATATACACAGAGGAAAACAGCACCATAGGTCCTTTCAACTGCCATACACATGAAATTTGTCAGTTTTCAATATGTTTTTACAATTGGAATGGGAAACCAGTGAAGGAAAGAACATAATTTTGAAGGAGAAAGTTATTTGCCTAGCAAGCTTCAGTAAGCAAGAGAGACCTTCATGCCATTTATCACGCTTACAAAGAAATAATAAATTTCAGATGGTGTGATTATTATAGCAAAACAAGCCTTTCTTGTATCACATGTCTTGAAAACATGTAATTATGCGACTGTTAAGACAATGAAAAATGTTTAGGCAATTCTGAGTTCTCCCAAGGTATCCCCAGGTAGTCAAATTGCTCTTTTTTGAGTCAAGAAAACTGAGAAAATAGCTGGTGCGCTAACGTCACAGAGTTGCTGAAAGACGGAAATTTACCCCCCGTGGAGAGCAGCAGGACAGCATAAACCCACTCCTCAGGGAAAGCTTTTCTGGAAAGGCAAGATCCCTGGGGATGGCTGATTTTTCAAATCTATGAAGCAGTCCTGACGTGGGGAACCACAGCAGGTACTGCAGCAAAGCGTCATTCTGCAACAGCTAAATATCAGATGAAGTGTAAGAAATCTGTAATTTTCAGGCTGAAGATGAAGCAAGGAGATGGGAGAAAAAGTGAAGACAAAATACTTGCTGATGAGCTCTCTTGCCTTGTGGGTGAAATTATGCCAAACACGACTAAAGAAAACAGTGGGGTAGTATTTTAAGTTACAACAGACCAAAACAAAATTACAGCAAGACATTTTGTTTTATTTTCAAGATGGGGGATACTTCTGTCATCTACAAAAACACATATGGGAACATTGAGGGGGTTCTGTTTTTTTCTTTAATGTAAGGTGTGAATTTCCCTTTGAAATCACATATGCACTACAAGGATAGATTTAATATTCCCTTCCTGCTTTTCAACAGTCCCTCCCTAAGTGTAGCTAGTGAACATGCTGAGAGCACAGACTTCACTGACAAGGCATTAGTTTTCCACAGGCCAGTGATTTTTGTTTCACTGGAAACACGTTTACCTGCCAAAGGCCATGTTCTCAATTGGCATAAATCAGTGCAGTTCCTTGCTTCGGCCACGTAATTCCATTTGCAGGCTTTACTTAAGGTTCAAATAATAGCTTCACCAGTGCCTCTGCCTCTCTCACTCTCGCCACATGAACTTTATTTAGCACTTAAAGAAAACACTTACCTCTAAAAGCTCATCGCCAATATGCATCCTTCCATCTCGTCCTGCAGGTCCATCCGGATTGATACCAACTACAAAGATGCTCATACGAGATCGGTCCTTGTTCCCAGCAAGACTCAGTCCAAGCCCATTTTTGTCTTTCTCAAGCTCAATAATGTGCAACTCTCCCGGTAGATCTGCATACCTTTGCCTAATTTTTTCTTCAAAGATAAAGAAGAATATAAAACAAGTTGTATGCAAATGTTTACAAACACACACAAGCACACTACAAGTGGGAGTTTTCTTGGCATTTACTCTCTGTTAACTGAGGTCTTTCCAGCACAGAATCTAAAATGCTATTTGCTGTGCCTGATCCATGCTTTGCGTCCACTCTCTTTCCAAATAGCTAAGGCCACTGAGAGATATGAGACTGCTCTTAGTTATTTATCTTTGGATTGAGCCACAGAAGCCCAGGTTCAGTTCCTGCTGCAAAGAGACCACTCAGTTGTCACTATATCATTCATATCATTCACAGAGTAAAATGCAAATATTGTTCACATTAAAACTGCATCATTTTAACTCTATATGCAACAGACTAGTTCTAAAACAAAACTTTTTTTGAAAGGAGGGTTGAAAATAAGGGAATTCCAGAGGCACCTCTGTCTCACCTTGCAAAAACTATCAATTTCAGGAAACTCATAAAGTTGGAGCCGCTTAATTAACCATTGTGGAAAACTGGAATGCTTCCCTTGCAAATACACTGCAAACTCACATCTCACCATGACTCAGGAACATGCTTGCTGTGCTCTACTTAAAATTATTTGCTACCGTGCAGAGGATTACTCAAAGCAGATGTCAGTAGCAATGCCTATGAATGATTTTAAATCATCAAGTTTTTAAATGCAGCCTCACTTGATATCAAGGTAGTTATTTGTCTCTCATCTACATTTCAACCACTTCTGTGGTAGGATGCAATGTATTTCCAAAGTTATTTGGAGCACGTTGCATGTCTGTGGAACCGAGCATGCTGACAGCTGAATGTGAACGTCTTTTCAATGGGGGCATACAAACAGCTGTAACTTTTGATTACAAAGGTCAATCATGGGAAAGGTTGTTTTTTTCTGTCTGATTGTCCTTTGCCAGTTTTATTCCGACTCAGAGGCAGTTTTTAAAACTAGCTTCATAACACCAGCTGCATCCAATGCTTCAACTGGGCCACACGCTAAAAAAAGCAGATAAAGAAATTTTGCCGTGACTAGCTTTCACCCTTAGTAAAAAGCCCAAGGAGAAAGAGAAGAGACTGATGCATCATGCATTAATAAGAGAACAAAGAGATATTCTATGTTCTGCCACATCCCTGAGTCAGCAGCAGTGGCTGGATCAATATCCATCCTATTACCATCCTACAATGGGGCAGCATATTTTAACAGTATGATTTAACCGCTGTAGTGAGATGAGAAAGAATGCACTAAAAGTGAATAAAAAGAGCTGGAAGAAAAACGATAAAGAGGGGTGTTCACGACACAGCCCACAGGCCACATGCAGACTGCCAGGGTGATTTAGCCAAACTCCAATCCACCTCAGCTGTATCTCTTTCTTAGGCAACTTGTGGGCCGAAGACGCTGCTCAGACTGCAGCAGCCCATGTCTAGATGCCACCTTCCTCAGGACCTGCTGCGTGCACCATCGGCTGTGCCTGGCTGTTCCAGCTCTGGTGGCCCCTTCGGGGTAGGCAGAGCGCACAAGGACAGCGTGAGCAGCCTTGTCTCCCATCCCAGATGCACCCAGGAACGTGGACGCGAACAAAGACTCGTATTTTCAGGCCAGTATTTTCCTGCCTCTCTCAAATCCCTGCTGGCCTGGAGCCTGAGCATAAAAAGCTGGGGGATGCATATTAAGGATCAAATGCTGTCCATGGAAAGCTGAGCCAGTAAAGCCCTGCAGAGCTCTGCACAAAATCAGAATACCATAACAAATTAAAAATCTTGCCTATTGCTATCAATTTTATGCTCAAACTCATATAATTCCATTAAACAGTAACCAATGTTACTGCATGGTTCTTTAATATACATCTTGACCCCCTTAGTTAAGAAATAATTAGGGGTGTCATTCACTACTTGAATTGGAAAGTGTTATTTTTCTGCTTGGTATGCAGGATACCCTTCTTTAGAAAAACAGTAAACAAGGAAAGGTCTTGAAAATGAGGCTTAGGAAAGCACAGCAGATGCAAGCATATACGCTGCCATGGATGTTTTGTTCATGCTGCCAAGGTTTAACTTCTTTTCCCACTGTCCAAAGTCCTGACCTGAAGACTGCTAAGTTGTTTTCTGCCTACTGTAATTAGCCAAAAAATGAACTTGCTACAGTGCAGCAAGCAGCTGCACTGCACTTCCTTGGTATCTCAGCCTCAGGAATATTAAAAATAGTCATCATCAGAAAAGTGGCTTCCTACTTCTGCAGGGAGAGTAAAGAATCAGCACTCCAGAGAGGTGTAGCTGGCTGATCACTGGTCTGCCACAGCTTGTTTCATTGCTCATTTTACATGGACAAGACATCTCATTTTCATTTGCTAGGAGCAAAGTACACACCTACAAGCGTGTTTTTAGCAACTCATAATGAGACGCACAGAAAAGAGGTTGCGGGGCAAGGAGAGAACACACTTAAATGCTGTACAGATGAAGAGGCGTACCTTTAGGGACTGCTTCAAGACTCATTTCTTGTTTGTCAGTAAAACTCCTTTAAATTCCCGAGCCTGATGCTAGTAGCTCTGTGACACCATGCACACTGACAGATTGCTCCCTCCTCAAGCTGCACACAAGTACCTTTTGGGACCACCAGCACCATTAAGCCCGCTGTAAGCTTTTTGCAGTGTTTTCTCCTGCTGGAGCAGCATAAAATGCTCCTCATACAGGAAAAAATATTAGAAGTTTTAAAATGCACATACATTCCTTTTCCATGTTGGGCTGAAACTAAAAGTATGAGTGTTAGTGCTCCAAAACCTAGCAATTACGGCAATTGCTTGGGATGAGAGAGAACCACACTGAAGTTTCTGACCTGCCTGCACTGGGCCAGGACCTGAAATCTGGGGAGCCACTTCCTAGCTCAGTGCTCCAGCTACTGGTCAGGAATCCTGCTCGGCATCCCCATGGGAACAGTTCTTCCTTGTATAAAAAAGTCACTGGGCAAAAAATGGAGACCAGCTCCAAGGGTAATAACTTTTTTTTTTTTAAATCTTCTTGTCATATTTTATTTGTTAACAAGGAAAAGGGTATCTCCCCCCTCAACATGTTTTTGTTTGGGGAACAAAAAAATCCATACTCACAACAGGGAAAACTTCCGTCCAGATTGAGCCCTTCGTGAAATTATTGTATCCATTTAGGAAGCAATGCTTTTAAACAGCTGAGGCGACTGAAGCAGACTGAAGCTGAAGCATTAGGACGCTACAAAGGAAACCGCCCAGGCGCTGCACGCCCCTCCAAGCACAGCAAGAGGACACCAGCATCACGTACTGCTGGGGAAGATGCACATGTGTGCAAACACGTGCTGGTGCACATACAGATGAGCAGAGATACCCTGCTTTTAGGCATCAGCCTCCTCAGCTAGGCATGCTGTCTCTTCTTTGAGCAGCAGAAGGTTCTGGCTCTTGCAAACGCCACCTCCTACAATTAAGCACTCTTGGAAGAGTTGTCCTCACTAGCGAGCAAGTGCACTGTAAATGATAACATACCATTCCCAGCAGTGTCATTGTGTTACTCATCCCATCTGCATACAAATATCCTTTGGGCACCCAGCTGACTTCCTATAACGTTCTAATCGTAGTCTCAGTTTGCCTCTTAATAAGAATCTCGTAAGATTATTTTAAACAAGTATTTACTGCTTAAACAAACGTGCATCTAAGGCACCTTCTTTGTAATGCCTTTTTCAGCTGTTTTCTCCCCCCTCCAGCTGGTGCCACTTTGCAGCCCTCTGCCTAGCATTGGGGAGCCAGTTAGCATCTGCTTTTGCAGCGAATTCCATTATCTGCCTTCATTACCCGATACTTTACACAAGGTAATTGTAATTCTGTTGTTACTGCATTACACAGGGGACATGGAGTTCTTCGTTTTGGCACTGCATGGAGTTGTCTCCGCGTTCAGTGACAATATGCTTATCAAAACTTCAGCAAACATATCTTACCAATGATATTCAGCTAGCTAATGCTGAATCCACAGTTTCTTTTAAAAATACCATACAGACACAACGTGAACAAGAAACGCTAGTACACTCTTTAGTGATCACTCTTGCAAGAGTATTTCCCAGTTATATTAGCAGACAATTACCACATTTCAGAAAGAAACCCCAGAAATGGAAGACAACTGCTTTCAAACAATATACCATTATGCTGCTGCATATGCTGCCCCACTCCAACAGCTCTTCCTATTATATTAAACAGAGATATAAAAGAAATAAATGGAGAAGATACAATCAGGACATTTGCGTTTCCGTGACACAGTATTGCAACAAATACACCATTCGCCTGTACGGAAAAACAGACACCACTTCTCAGGAAGGCAAGAGACTTTAAATTACAAAGGTACATAAGAGTCTTGCAAAAGGCTGAGCAACCTGCTTCCCAAGGCTGCTGAAATCTGCAGTTACATGAGCTGAAAGGGAAGAAGGGTTTCTTTTTGAACGTGGTGTCTCCACATGACGCAAATTAGAGTCCATCTAGAAAGGTAAAAAGAGGAAAGAAAAAGCTCTGCATGACTCAGCAATACAACTGGTTTTCGTATCAAGTGGTGAATACCAAAACTGCCGATGCAAAATACAGAAACAAGAAAGGGGGTGGGGGAGGGAAACACATTGCAAAAAGAAACGACAGCTGATATTTGTATACCAAACGTGACAGATACTGAGGTTTTTACATCCCTCTTGCATTAGCTCAGATAACTATTAGCAACATAGGCTGTCTTTTGGAGACTTTGCAATGGTCTCATTTATCAGCCTGTGTTCGTTTTAATGGTTTTTAGCTACCATTTTCATCACATAGTACGTAACACGGTCACAGTCTTAGCCTTCGCTGAGATTACTCTGTTCAGACAGCAGCGCTGCAGCAGCACATCCACTGTTTTTCATTAGTAATGACAGATATCAGAATGCAGCCAGCATCCACCACCCAGAGCAAACCTTGCATATCAAACAACTAATTCCCTTCTTGGGGGGAATATATAAACACTATAAAC